AACATAAAAAAAAAGTTTTTAAAATTGATCGATAAGCATTTCCCGCCCTCTAATAAATTACATAAAATTTTTAATCAAAATACTATTAAAGTTAGCTACAGTTGCACAAAAAATATGGAAAGAAATACAAAAGGTCACAACAATGCTTTGTTAAAAAAAAAAGAAATTCAAAATGAAAAAACTACAAAAAATTGTAATTATAAAAAAAAAAACAATTGTCCAATGAGTGGAAGTTGCTTATCAAAAAATGTGGTATATAAATGTGTTGTCTCCTCTAAGAATGTACCTGATAAACAATATATTGGCATAACAGAAGGTGAATGGAAAAAACATTTTGCCAATCATAAGCAATCTTTAAAAAATAAAAAGTATTCAAAAGACACCATGCTGTCAAAATATATATGGGAATTAAAAGATAAAAATATTGATGATTTTACACTGAATTGGTCCATCCTTGAAACAGTGCCTGCATATAAAAATGTTTCAAAAAAATACATACTATGTCTACAAGAAAAATTTGAAATAATTACACATACAAACCAAGAATGTTTATTAAACAAAAAATCGGAATTGATTTCTAAATGCAGGCACGAAAATAAGTTTCTCTTAAAAAACTATAAAAATAAGTGAGCTCAAATAATAGTTACATTAATTCCCCTTTGAAAAAAAATATATAATTTTTTAAAAAAGCTTAAGTAATCATTTCTAAAAAATTTTTTTTACAATAGTGTCAGCAAACTACACAAATGTATGAAAAATTGCAGTAGTTAAGACATGTGACTTCCTGTAATTTAATTTTTGGTATAAATTGAAGTGTTATTAATTTGATCATTCATTTCTGATGAGTCTTTATTGATGAAACACAGTGTTAAATGAGTAAAAATTTTTCTAAGTGATTTTCTACTAATATATATATATATACATATATATATATACATATATATATATATATATATATATATATATATATATATATATATATATATATATATATATATATATATATATATATATATATATATACATATATAAGTCTATATATATATATATATATATATATATATATATATATATATATATATACATATATATATACATATATAAGTCTATATATATATATATATATATATATATATATATATATATATATATATATATATATAGACTTATATATGTATATATAAGTATATATATATATATTGCTAACTGAGTATATATATATACATAGCTAACTGAGTATAAAAAGGCAGCTATTTCTTATATATCAGGTTTCATTGTTAGAATGGTAAAAAAATAAATTTTTTGTATGTTATGCTGTATGTATGCTTGGTTCTAAAAACCATGTTCCAGAAACTAATTTTTTAAAAGTAAAAGATAGTAGTGGTCTTATAAAACCAAAAAAAGATGTTATTGATGTTTGTGAAAAAAATGAAAAAAAAAATTGTTAGAATGCTAGCAACAATACCTGGAAAACTGCCATATTTCAAGAACATCCTAGAAGCTATATCTATTTCAGTTTTAGAAGATTTAGCTTCGATATATTTAAAGATTCGGACGAACACATGTTTGATACTGGTATAAATGAAAATTACGTGTTTTTAATTTAAACAATTTTAAAAATGTATTCTACAAAATAGAGTGCTCAATGTTCTTAAAAACACAGAGCAATTATAAATTAGTCAAAAATCACTAAACAATTTTTTTTTTTATTTTACACTGTGTTTCATCAACAAAGACTCATCAGAAATCTGACGAGTCCTTATTGATGAAACACAGTGTAAAATGAAAAAAAAATTTTGTTAAGTGATTTTATACTAAATATATATATATATATATATATATATATATATATATATATATATATATATATATATATATATATATATATATATATATATATATATATATATATATATATATATATATATATATATATATATATATATATATATATATATATATATATATATATATATATATATATATATATATAGAACCGGTTCTATATATATATATATATATATATATATATATATATATATATATATATATATATATATATATATATATATATATATATATATATATATATATATATATATATAGAACCGAAGCTTCGGCAATTTTGCCGAAGCTTCGGTTCGGCCGAAGCCAGGTCAATTTTTTGCCGAATCTTTGGCTTCGGCAAAAAATTTTAAGTAATTAAAGTTGTAAGCTACTGTTGTACAAGTTATAAAAATATGCTAACTGCCAGTGTCTAATTAAGTTGTAAATTTAGGACTACAGAGTTAAAGTTGGAGTCTATATCATATACTTAGTATTATTTACTCCCAAATGTCTTGTTATGGAGGGGATGATAATAAATAAGTAGAAATATTTTGAATATAATAGTAATATTAAGGAAAGTCCTCATACACTTTGAAGGCTTCCAAGTGTGACTTTAGATGAACTGAATCAGCATTTTTATGCAGAATAAAAACCTTATAATTTAAAACAAATTAAAACTTTTTAAAAATAAAATGGAAAAAAAACCTTAATTTGTATTATGTAACGAATTTATATTAATTTTTGTGTAGGATTACCGCAAATAGAACAAAAATTTGTTTTAACATTTGACCTATATACCTTAGTAATCTCACTTTAAAGAAGATTAAAGATACGTTGCTACTATTTTAAATTCTGTGTATGTTTAATTTTTTTAAATTTTATTTAACCATAATAATAGTTACAAACTAGTCAATGGAGTGACACATAAAAAACATAATGTTCTCAACAAAAAAAAAGGAAGAAAAGCAAATGAAATATAAATGAAGAGAACAAAAAAAGAAAAAAAAAGTCAACCAAAACTACATAAATTAAAAGAAAAAGAAAAACAATGATAATAATTATCTTTGCTCGTTTATAAATATTATTAATACTTCTAAATTGAATTTATATATTAAACATATAAACTTATATTCTGGTTTTTCTTATGATATGAAGACTTTTAAATTTTATTTAAAATAAATTAAAGGTTAAAGCTTTGATTACTTTGAGCTCTTATATTTATCATCAAAATATATTTAAATTAAATAAACAATTTAAATCAAATAAATATTAGCCTGCTCAGTCCCTGTTTATTTATAAATATAAAGTAAATAATAATATAATTATAAATAAAAAATTTATAAAGTATTCTATTTATTATTATATTTAAAGCTCACTCTACTGAGTTGTAAGATTACTATAGAAGTTTTTGTCACAGATGGTTAATATTTGATTTCAGATACTGATGCAGATTTATCCATTACAGAGACAGAAGAAGAATGAATACTATAATTTCAGAGTGTAAAAGATTAATAGAAGCTTAAGAAAATGTTATGTAGTGTAAAATTAAAAATAATAAAAAAAAAAAAACAACTTAAAAGTGTGTAAAAAAGAAGTTAGAGAGAAATCTATCAATAGTACTTTTTTTTAGCAACAGATTCACAACAGTTGTAGTGGAATACAAAATGGTCTTAACTTGGGTTTTTTTTTTAGTTTAGAAATTGTTCGTTTAATGAATACAGAGAAGTAAAAAAAAGATATTAAAATAAATAGCAATAAAAAGATAAAGTGTGTTTGTAAGATTTTTTATGTTGTAGATACAACTAGATCAACTAAGAGTGTTTATTTAGAGAAAAAGTGTTCAAGTGTAAAAGATAAATTTACTTGAGAAATATTCAGAGATTTTTATCCACTCTTAACAAAAGGTGCATTAAAAATAAAAATAAAATATACAGCACATGAAAAGATGCGTAACAGTAATTTATGGGGAATAAAATTTGAGGATGTTCAGCTAGCACACGATAATTAGATAGAGCAAACAAGATGATTAAATAGAGGATTAAAAATTAGATGATTAGATAGAGGATTAAAGAGAAACGATGTTTACATAGAAGAACAGTATGGCTATAAAAGATCAAAAAAATTGCAATAATCTTAGAAGAATATTGGGAATAGTTGGAAATATATGTGAGTTACTGATATTGTGCACTATATAACATTAATATGGTTTGCACACAGAAAAAGTAGAACTAGAAGTAGGAAAATTTGGGGAGAATGTTTCAAAAAAGCTTAAGTTTTTAAAAAAAACACTAGGTGCGGTGAAGTATCAGAAACGACATAATGAGAAACTTTCAAACAGGGGCGCTGAGAGCTTTTGCCCTGCCTGGGGCAGCAACCCTGACTTGTGTCAACATTTTTATTCATTTTTTTAATATTATTAGTCAAAGATCTTAGTTTTGGAACCTTTTTTGTTTTATATCCCTGCTGATCTGAATGCTGATTAAATTTTAAGCATATATAGTGCCGAAGCTTTGGCTTCGGCCAAAGCTTCGGCTTCGGCAAAGTGGCTTCGGCCGAAGCTTCGGCTTCGGCCAAATTTTAGCTTCGGTACATCCCTAGTTATTTTACGGTAGGGTACCGTGATTATAATGTGATAAAATAGCGTGAATTACGACATAATACCGTAATTAATTTACTGAAATGCCTCGTTCATTTATAGTACATCATATATTGTACAATATAAATCGGTAAAAAAATATATTTTTACTATTTTAAAAAATTTTTTCGCCTATTTCATTTTGTCTTTTTTTTATTTATTTCAGTTGTATTTCAATAACATTTTTTTTAATTGTATTTTAAATTATAAATATCTATTAACATATATGCTTGTTTATATGCAAATGGCAACAAAAACACGTCATACTTTTAAAATCTTTTTAGTTTTACATTATTAACATGTTCGTAAATACAAATATTTACTCAGATAAATAGAATGAATATAAATAAGTTCCAAAAAAACACAAATTTCAAATATCTGAAATATTGATATAAAGTTATATAAATATTTATACTCTAGTTTAAGAACGAATCAAATTAAAAAATGAAACAAAAGTTATTATTGTAAAACTTTTGAAAATTTAAAAATAAATATAAATAACTACATTGTAAATTGTTTTTCAAAGTTAAATTAAGAAGTTTAACAACGTGGTAAATTCAAATATTATCAAATCTCGCAAACTTCTGCAGTATTGACAGCACAATTTTGCTTATTGATGAAGTCTTTTTCGTTCGCTTTGATTTGTTTCCCTTCTCAGGATTGATGTCGAAGAATGCACTAGAACGGTCAATAACATATTTATAAACAGTTGATCAATAAATAAAAATACTATTAAAATCAAACACAATATAAACCTTAGAAAAGTTTAATTTAATTAAAAATAATATACCGTTGACAAAATTCTAATATTAATGAAGCTTCTTTTTGATATGGTATATTGAAAATATAAAAACTTGACGAAACTGTTCATTCCATCAACCACAACAATGCAATCAATGACCAGCATAACTCGATTTGCTGTAAATAGTGAATTTCCTAAAAAAAAATGCAAGTTGACCTAACAAAAATTCACTTAAGTATATATAAAGAAAAATGAAAAAGTTGATACTTTTTTTAATTATTTAAAAAAAATTAAAACATTAGAACTTAGAACTTGTCATTCAACATACCCTAAACACAGAGATGAGGAGAGTTTGGTCCTGTCAACAATTCTGCTTCCCAAACAAATTTTTTTACTATCAAGTATTTTTGAAGTAAATACATTACATGTTATTCTAAAATGAGTAAAACAATAAATTGATTGAAAAAAGCTATCGAATAAATTAATGCTTATTAAATTAATTATTATTTTTAACTTACATCAACAAAGAGTTTGTCAGGTTTTTCATTAAATAAACTAATCAAAACCATTAAAAGACCGGGAGCCACAGGTAAATCTGACAAAGTTTCATGTTTTGCTTTATCTAAATCTATTAATACCTTCTTTACTCTAAGGTCTGTTATTTTGCAACTATGCAAAAATAAAAATAATCATATAATGCTTTAATTTAATTTTAAAAGCGATGTAGCAAACCATCAACCTCAATATAAAAAATCAATTTAAATACGTAGATATACTAAAACTAAATCAAATAAACTTCTACAAAAATCAAATTGAATACTATAAAAATGATATATCTATTTAGTTATCATTGCATAGATTTATAAATACTGGTTAGTAATATAAGTTATTTTATTTTAAATAAAAAGAATTTAATTTACTGAAAATAAATTGGGGAATTTCATCAACAAATCATTTAACAACATCTTCCATTTATTTCAGTTCGTTGCAAATAGTAATCGAGTTCCTCAAGGCTGTTTGAAACATTGAGAACTGGCTCTCGGTTCAAGCAACCATAAATATCAGTTTTTCTTTTTAAGACATCAACTGATAATTGTTCCAATCGGCAGCACTTACATGTTTAATCTTTATTGCTTAACAGAATTGATACTTATTTAAAATAGAGCAATTAAATATTTAAAGAACACTAAATAAATATTTTTTCACTTACTATGTTTTGTTAACAACTTTTTTAAAATCTACAGGACTTTGAGATTGTGCTGCAAAAAAAGTTTTTTATATTATAAATGAAAGTATATAAATGTATATGATAACAAAAATCATATTTATTTTATATAAATATCCTAAATTTTCATTACCAGAGCTTTCCTTTGCCCAAGATTCAAGGAGTTTACGTTGTTGGATGGGTTTTAGGAAAACCAAATCCTCAACTTTTACAAAGTAGAAATCTGTTTCATTTTCAACACTTATTTCCATTAAATTGTTCATAACCTTATTCAAAACACATCCATCAATATTTGGCAGTGTTCCTAAAATATTACTTTTAAGAGCATCCATTATCTAAAATAACAGATCATATATATCATGTGTCTATATCAAGAATATCATATATATCATAATAAGTTCAAAAAATTATATTAAAAAAAAATTATAGAAAATATTAAAAAATTATACTTGCTTTCATTTTACATTATACAAGGTGGCAGCAAAGTTCTTAATAAACAGATTTTTATAATACAGAACAGTTTTTATAATACTCTCTGCTACTTGTTTTTAATTGGTTCTTACAACTGGTTCTTAAAATATTATTTCAGAAAAAACTGCATACATACGCCAAATACTACAAATAAAATAAATTACAAATAAAATATTTTATTACGATACTGCCAAATAAAATATATTACTTTTTTATATTTATGTAAATCTGTAGTTATTTGATGAGTATGACACAGAGTGCTTTAAGGAAATAAAAGAGTGATTGCGGTGCTTGTAAGATGGTAGTGGAAGGTAGTCTATTAGAGAAGCAAGCCTTAAACATTGAATCTCATTATTTTCTTCATAGACCTCATACATACCAAGCTCATGCACTAATTGTGTGTTTTGCTCCTCAACTCCATGTGTTTCAAAAAAAAAAAAAAAAATTCTTGCAAAAATAGGAAGTTCACGATCCTTCCTAAAGTCAATAATTAAGAATAAATCTTTTTTGTAATGGGTGCCTTGATAGACAATATGGGTAGAAAATGTCTCCGGCAGTTGTCCACATGTAGTTGCCTCAAAAATTGTAGAACTAAAATTTGTGATTTTGAATGAAAATGAATTGATCGTATAAATTTTTAAACTTGGTATGCTTGAATTATTGTATGATTGCATCAAACAGTAAATCTGTTTTAAACAGGTTTACTGTCTCCTAATGCTATACTAGGTATTAAGGGTCATTTTACCATCATTTGGAGGTTCTTCGTTTCAGAACCGTTTTCTGAAAGTGAGTCTCAATGTTTAATTACAAAAAAGGTGATTACGATTCAATATTTTACTTCCTCAATTTACTATTTTACTTGTTCAATTTACTAATTTCCAACTAGCTTTGAGAATAATTTATTCTCAAGAAAAATATAACAAATAAAAATCCTTCGATTTCTCCGCATTAAAAATCTAATCCGAGCAAGAATTTTGCTTGACATATCAACTGCTACACTCTCGCGGACCACGAGTGTGTAAACTAAATGGATGAATAATAAGCAATCTTTCAAATTACAATCGTCTTAATCTTTCAGTAAAAGCTGAAATATTTAAAGCAAAAAGAACGCTAAAAAAATATATCAAAATCCCACAATCCAAAACTCGTCTACAAATATATTAACAAACAACTGAAAATTAAAAAAAGAGTTTGTTTTCTCAAAAATACATAAGCGTTTCTGTTAAAATCTTACAAACATGCTTGTAATTGTTACAATTTCTTGCACATTTTTTGAAGTAAGAATGCTTTCGTTCAAACCTCAAAATGAAAACCCGCATTAGAGGCCTGTAATGAAAAATTAGCTGTGGATAGTGGGACAGATAACGATGTTTTGGTAATAGTTTAGATAAGAATAATTCTCTTCGAGAAGACAAATAACCAATTATTAAAACCTGCAGATAAGCAATATGTTGAATGTCAATTTTGGGCGAACATATAATCTCAACAATTTCTTATAGTTTTAAATACAATAACCACACAGGGTCTTCAAAATCTGTAATGTAAATTCCGATAAAAAGGGGAAACAAACGCAAAAACACCCAGTTTTGTACTGCATTACTACTTAACTTTTCAGTACATGAAGTTTTATTTAACTCACAAGGCTTATCCAAGGCATCTCCTTCAAAATACTACTGCATGTTAATTCTTCTGTTGATATTGTTATTAGAAAACCACCGTTTACTAACATAATATTTAACAAGTAGATACATATCTCGTGAAGCGACGCCTTCAAAGATATCATGAGCTAAGCATGGCACCATTTAATAATTTATATGGATTTCACATGAAATCCATATAAATCATTAAATGGTGACTGAAATTTTATTCCTTTAAAATTGTTACCATTGTTATTCTGAACTAATTGAAGCAGGCTACTATTGTGGCTTGATTTTATTCGATCAGGTCCACAGAATTGAGGGTTAAAATCAAATTCTGCACGTGTCGCTAAACAGTATCGACAAAAGTGCGAAACTGTACAAAAATTTTCAGAAAAACCTCCTATAGAATGTGATCCTAAATTATCCCCTAGTATGCATAGAGGTTTTGTTTTTATTGATAAACTTTCAGAAACAGAACAATCAGATATTTCTGCCGATTCAGAAAATATTGGCGCAAATACTTTGCTGAGGCCAAAGTACTTTAAATTTGTATTTTTACACATCAGTACCAGCTGTAGCTGCTCCGATGCATATCTTTTGTGTGATGGAATGTTAGCTAAAGTTAAGTAAACTGAAAGAATTTTATGTTTTTTCTTTCCCGATCCAATTGGGTTGACAATTTCAAAAGAATCTTGATATAGCATAAGATATAAAATCTTATCATCAGATTTAGCAATATTTTGAATTAGGGATCCACTCTGTAAGTCTGTATATGTACCAATATTTTCCTCGTATTTTAGCCAAAATTGCTGTTTTAGCCAAGGTTCATTGCTGTGTTTGTTGTACATCATTTTTAAGTCGGAACATGATGAACAGTTCTAAACTTTTTATTGGAATCAAAACCTAAAGTAAATTCTATTGGAGATATATAACTCATATTTCTTTTTTTTTTTTAAACACCTTCGCTTCCAACAAGGCTGCAAGTAACCACTAATTAGTGTTGGAAGTTACTGGAATAGAACAGATGAAGATTGTAGAGCAAGATAACGATTGACATACGACTTAAAAGAGTGCAAATTATATGATTCAGGAAAGCAAGATGAAGGAAGCGAATTCCAAAGAACTGATGTTTGAGGAAAAAAACTAGACGAGTAAGAATTTTTGGAGCACTTAGGAACAGTAACAGGATGAGACTTAATTGAATGACGAGTAATACGAGAATGAATTTTAGTAGATGGCACAAGAGACGCTAGCTCTTTAGAGCAGTGCCCATTATAGTTTTTGTAGAAAAGAGAAAGAGAAGCGACATTACGACAATGTGACAAAGGTTGAAGGTTGGCTGCAAGAGCAGGTCTAACTATGTTTACAATGCGTTTTTGCACTTTGTCTAAAAGAGAAAGGGCATCATTAGAAGATCCTGCCCAGTTATGACAACAGTATTCCATACAAGGCTGGATTTGAAATTTATAGAGATAGAGAAAAAAATCCAGAGTAAGAAAATGTAGAGTTCGATAAAGAGATGCAACTTTAGCAGATGCTAATTTTGCAATGGATTTGATATAAGGTTTCCAAGAAAGATCAGAAGTAAGAGTTAATCCATAAGATGAAGGGTAGGAGACTCACCGAGTACATTACCGTTCATAAATATAGGAAGGTCTAAATTATTGCGATAACGATTGGCTGAAAAAAATTGAGTTTATCTGAATTAAAGTTCACCAGCCACTGTGAGCCCCATGCTGTAGCAGAAGTAAGATCCTTTTCAAGCTCAGATGCCCCCTGCAAGCAATCAGAGAGAGTTGGCTTCTTATCGTGACAAGAATAAATGGTAGTATCATCAGCGAACAATGCCACCTTAGATACGAGAATATCTGGAAGATCGTTAATGTAAATTAAAAAGAGTATAGGGCCAAGGATTAAACCTTGAGGAACCCCTGAGGTTACAGAATAAGAAGAAGAGTGCTGTCCATCGAGGAAAATTTTTATACTAAGATTGGAAAAGAAGGATTCAATAATCTTAAAGATGTTTCCAGATACACCGTAAGAAGAAAGCTTATGGAGAAGACCAGCATGCCAAACTTTATCAAACGCTTTAGAAATGTCAAGAGCGATGGCCTTAACCTCTCCACCTTTATGTAATGCGCGATAAAACCTATCGGTTATGACTGATAGCAAATCAGCCGTAGAACGAGAAGGTCGAAATCCATATTGATGATTATTGCATGAAAAAATTCCAGCTGGCCCCAGATGTTGTAGCAGGAGAATTTTTTTTTTTTAATGTTAATGTGTATTATTTGTTTTTAATGTTAATGTGTATTATTTGTTTTTAATGTTATTATGTATTGTTTTCATAATTGTAAGGTTTATTAAGTCCAAAGAATGTTAAAGAATCAAACAGCCTTTTGCCTAAGAATTTAAATACTCTTACACATCATGTATTAAAAATTAAAGTGTTAAAATTTTTGTTTATTTTTATTTCTTCTAATTTTAACAATATTTTTCAATTTAAAGTTATAACAAAAATTTTTAGATTGGATGGGCACTTTCTTTTTCCTATGTGAAACTGGATAAACATTGCTTTTTGTAAAGTGGTAAAATGTCTGTTTATACTAATTTTTGACGTTAGAAAATGTAAACAAATTTTTCTTTTGTAAAGTACTGACATTTAAATTTTATTTTTTTGTTCTAGATTATGTATTTATATGGAGATAAAAATATTATTTTTAAAAAAGGAATTATTTTTTGTTAATAGTATGTATTAAACAAGCACCACCGCATACACCCTTAACTCTTAAGTACACATCTCATATATGGTAGTGATCTGGGAGCAAAATATTGGAACTTCTGTTTGATAAAAAAGACAATTTTCAGTAATAAAATACTTTTTTATGATAGAATTTTCAATTTATTGGTGGTAAAAGTTGTAGTTTGGTGCCCCCTCTAGCTGCCCACCCACACCCTATGGCTAGATGCTACTATAACATTGTAGCCCACTCTTACATCTTTCTTTTGATACCAAGTTATAGAAATTTGCATAGTTATAACAATTTATATACAAAAAAATTTATTTTGACCACAGTTTCTTTTACAGTTTCATATATTCAAAAATTGTCACTAAAAACCTCATAATTTTTTTTTTTGAAATGTTCGATTTTGATCATTTTTTCACCATTGAAATACTGTATTAATGGTCTTTTCAACGATATATAACAATATAATATTT